GGCGCCGTGGGACTTTATCCAGAGCCAGATGCAGCAGACGGCGGGGCGCCCGGGGAATGCGTGCTGGCCGTACGTCAAAGTAGGTCGTTTATATGTATGCTCGCACCCGGCCCTGGATAAAACCTCTGTGGCCTGACCCTCGCCTCAGGCCCCGTGGGACTTCATTCAGAGCCGGCTTCCACAGCAGATGCAGCAGACGGCGGGCCGCTCGGGGAATGTGTGCTTGTACGTCTAGGTATACTGTCTATATGTAGGAGTGACGGCTTTTACTTGTGTCCACACTATGCTCTCTGGAAACCAGATAACTCCTTGCGTTATTTTTTTTGGTTCGAACTCACTACAAGAAGGAGATTTCCTGCCTGCAATAATTGTATGCTCCAACTTGGCCCTGGATAAAACCCCTGCGGTCTGACCCTCGCCTCAGGCGCCGTGGGACTTTATCCAGAGCCGGCTTCGGCAGCAGATGCAGCAGACGGCGGGGCGCCCGGGGAATGCGTGCTGGCCGTACGTCAAAGTAGGTCGTTTATATGTGCGCTCGCACCCGGCCCTGGATAAAACCTCTGTGGCCTGACCCTCGCCTCAGGCCCCGTGGGACTTCATTCAGAGCCGGCTTCCGCAGCAGATGCAGCAGAAGGCGGGACACCCAGAAAAAGCGTGCTGGCAGCCAGCTCTAATTAAATCCCAGCGGCCTGGCCTCAGGCCCAGACCCGAGGGACATTATCTCAGACCCCGGCCGTATCCATAGATGCCTGGGCACTTTTACTATACTGTCTCTACTCTACATAGGGAATCCGGACTTGTGTACCAGTGTGATGTTCTGTCTGGATCAGGCCATGGACTCCCGCTGTCTGGCATCGATATGGTACGGATTGCCTCGCGGTTGCGGCGACATGCAGATAGGATTTCCCAGGATGCCGTCTTTCTCGAAGTGTTGGACCTTGCTCTGTGTGCATGGATGCATCGAGTCCAGTTGCAGCTCTACTTGAACTTGGAGCCCGAAGTCCAGATGTGCGGCGTTGCTGAGTTCCTGCGAAGTCTGCTGCCGGAGGGTATGCAGCTTCCTAGCCAGCATGACACCAGTGACGTCAAGTGGGCCGTGGTCCTAACACGAGCCGATGCTGCTGCAGCTAAGACTCCAGCAGAGCTGAATCATTTCCTACCAGCTTGGCCTGCTGGCAGCGTGACAGCAGCTGAAGAGCAGGAGAGAATCATGCATCGCCAGAAGCTCGAGCGCTTGAGCTACTTGAGTGTCATCGCTCAGAGCGACGACGATGTCCTTGTCCAATCGGCTTACGAGAGCCTAGCAGCTGCAGAGGAGCAAGCTCATGCATTGAGGTCCTTGGTTGGTCGCTTGTACGCTGACAAGAAGCTCTTGGCCCGCGATGTGGGCCATGATGGCAACTGTGGGCTCTGGGCCACAGTGGCTCTTCGTTCTGGTTCGCCATTCATGGCAATCACCTCGGATCAGGGTACGCGGGATGAGATGACTGCGATGCGGGCAGCCATCGCAGCCAAGTGGCGCTCCTTAGCCGAGGATGCAAGCCTTGCGGAGGCACAGGCGTGGCATCAGCTCTTGTGCCACTGCGTTCCTGACACTGTAGAGCCCGCGTGTCCTGTGAAGTTCGAGGGCTCCATCACGAAACCCATGAAGTCCGAGCCAGGCATTGATCCCTTAGATCCTGGCGAGCTGACCCCCAAGCGTCCGGACACAGCCGCGCAAGAGGCTTACGCTAAGCATACACCACCGAAGCTAAGCCGGACGCAGAAGCAGTTCATGGGCGCTGGCCTCATACGTGCGAGGCCTGAGTCTGGTCCTAGTGTTCCTGTCAAAGCAGAGGCCTCGGCTCAGATGGTGCATGTCAAGGCAGAGCCTATCTTGGGCGACTTGCCCCAGGCTTCCAAGAAGCGAGGTCGGTCAGCAGTGATGGCTTGCCCCAAAGATGCCAAGGACACCGAGGCCAAGAAGGCCAAAAGTCGGCAGCAGCAGGTCATGAAGAGTGCACGCGGCCATCTCGCCATACTGGGTTTGACTGCCAGCGAGCACTGCAAAGCCCACTGTCGCAAGGCTTTTCTGAAGGGTGCGCCGGATTGTGGCAACGGTGGCTGGACTCAACTCCTGCAGGAGCTGCTGAAAGGCAAGATGCCGGAGGGTTGCACGACATGCTCGCAGTTGCTTCAAGGGGCCAAGTTCGATATGCAGAGCTTCCGAGCCAGTGTCACTGGCCTGCCCGTGACACATGATGAGCCTGATGCGCCGGCGCTGCCATGTGAGGCCGAGCCGTCGGCGCTGGTAGCTGTCCCTGTCAAGGAGGAGTGCCCAGAGCCTACGGACGCCGTGGTGCCACAGGACACCGCTGAGGATGTGATCATCGATGCTAGGCGCATCGTGGAGGAGCATCCTTTGCTGACGCTGCTGCCTGAACATAGCATGAGCAAGCGATACCCCGTGGAGTGTAGGATCTGCCGGCGCAAGGGAAGCGGCAAGCTGGCAGTCTTCGACCTCATCAATCCTTCCAAGCGGCGGTTCATAGACCAACACCTCAACGGGCCCACTCATCTGAGGAATCTTCAGCAGCACCAGCAGCAGCAGTCGCGACAGTCCTCTCGACTGCAGGGCTCCTCTGGTGGCTCATCCGGCTGCCAGCAGCCTCTGCCTTTGCAGGATGGAAGTGCCGGCGAGCAACCCGATCCGGGGATTGTGCCGAGGAAGTGTGAAGGCTTCCAGGTTGGAAAGGTCTCAGCTTCCAAACTCAGTGATCTGGAAGACCCGTTCAAGCTCTGGGCAACCTACAACGTGCTCAGCTCTGTGCAGCACTTGCACGACGCCCAAGGCACGAACCACCACTACAGCCAAAGCATGAACACTGGCTCCTACATCATCAGGCACCACCACTGCGAAGGTCAGAGCTCAGGCCGAGAGGATCCCGACCAGCCCGCAATGTGCAGCAGGTGTGCAAGCCTCGGGAACGACAGAGCCATCGTCCGGATGATACAGCGTTACTTCGTCAAACACACGGCTGCACATCTTCTGGCAGCCCGTCTCTTCGAGCCTGATCAGGTGGAGGCGGTGATAGCTGATGCCAAAGCTAGTGCCGTCTATAGCTTGCGCCAGTCAGAATTAGACGAGGTCTTCGCTCTGACTAGCCCGCTCCTCCAGAAGTTCGTGCGCTCCCAGTTCATGTCGATACCACCCGGCAACTGGAGCAAGGCCACACGAGACCTCGTCTCCTCTCTGGTGCAGCCGTGCTTGAAGGTGCCAGCGAGCACATGGGACTCTAGAGTGCTGGACCCCACCTGCTCCGTCCGTGTGCTCGCCGACAAGATGCGATCGGGCACATTGTCCACGGTCTCCGAGGTGAATCTGAAGCTGGCCTGCCACGTAGCTTCCGGGGCACTATCACACCATCCGATGGTGCAAGGCATTCTTGTTGCGACCATAGAGCAGGCAAGAAGAGCAAGCCGTGGCAGCAGCAACATGCGGAACCCACGCCTGTCTGACTTGGAACTCAGCATGATGTCTGAGGCGGGAGTGGCCATGTCTCTGGCGGCCAGCAACCTTCAGCTCATTCGTGAGTTCGGGCTGGCGATGAGTGTCCCAAAGCTTCCACTCCACCAGCTCAACAGCTTCAACATACCAGACTCTTTCCTATCATTGACAAAGCCTGGAGTGTTGGAGGAGAACTGCTTGCTCATCGACAGTCACCTTGCATGGCCGCCCGCTGCTGATGGCAGCTCCAGAACACCAAGCCGCCGCTGCCTCACCCTTGGGTTTGACAAGACGTACATCTTGAAGGGGCTCGACATCATCCAGGTTCCAGCCGGCAAAGCCTACGTGGGTACGGCCTTCAGGGTGTCCAGCTTGCACGAAGCCAGGGACGCTGATCCAACTCTGGAATCCGGCGGGGACACAGGCTTGCTTCTGCTGAAGTCTACGCCTGCTGCCGAGCCTGGCGAGCCGGAGACTGTCCAGGCCGACAAGACCTGGGACGCTGCACAACTCACCTTCGCCCGAGAGCTATGCGAGTTCCTGATATGGGACCCAACACTTGCTAGCCTTCCGCGTTTCTCGGCATGCAGCATACCCACCTCCTATCAGTCCGATGCCGCCGAGATGCTGGAGATGCTAGGGCGTGTCCTCCAGAAAGCCAGCAGAGTCAAGACCGTCACATGCGACAACGCATCCCAACACTCCTTGATAAAAGCCTTCCTTTTAGGCACTCCGACAGGCATGTCCCAGGCCCGCATCCAGGCTCTGCCATTTTGGAGGGACGTGGTGTACGTGTCACTGCCAGACTTGTGCCTTCCGAAGTTCGGCTTCAGAAAGCCCCAGATTCAAGGGCAAACCCTCTTCCTCCTCAACGGGCCCGCGCATCTCCAAAAGAATGTAGTCGGGCAGCTTCGCAGCCCAAAGACTCTTCGCTTCGGCCGGTATTGCTGTGACTTCAGTGCCACGCTGGACTTGTCGATGCCTCCAGGAGCGTATCAAGGATACGACTCGCAGTCGGATGTGGAGGCAGCTTCCTTCCTGAATGCATTTCATCTGGTAGTGGACCTGCCCTCGAACCCAGACGAGATCCGCATCCCCTGGGCGCTCACTGGTGCACTTCTGCTGAACTTGACAGTCTGCCTCGTCACCAGTGCCGTCTTCCACCCTGGCCTCGGCAACTTGGTTCGGCTGGAGAATGCTCTGACTGCTTATGTCCTCCTGGACTTGGGCCAGATGCTGGCTGAAGCTTCCAAGCTGCGGGGCTTGGCGAAAGGGAGCTCTTGGCTGCACCCGGTGACTCAGCACAACCTCCAGCAGCTTTGCGGGTGCATTGCAGTCATCACCACGAGCGAGAGCGGCACCCTGCTCCATCGTTCAACAGAGCTTCCACTGGAGCAGTGGTTTGGGTTTCTGCGTACACAGTATGCGTCCAGTCAAATGACTGTTCGGGACTACTTGCATGCCTCATGCAAGAAGATGTACCAGTTCTCCCAGCGCCTGAGCAAGGGCGGAGCCAGCCAAGTCCCTCTTCAGTCCGGCAGTCCCGTCGATGATGAGGCTTATGCCAGCTGCGCCCGCAAGGCCCTGGACAGTGCACTGCAGTTGATGGCCTGCTGTGCCGACGAGACCGTGCCTGCTCTTTTGAAGAAGTACGTGGCCTTCTCCGGCAGGCAGCTGCAGCCCTCTTCGGCGCAAGAGCCTGTGCAACATCAAGCTGAGGACGCTGAGGGCGTAGAGGACTTTGTCGAGGACGAGGATCCGGCCCCGCAGGTGCACAAGAACTCCGAGGAGGCATCCGATCCAGATCTTCGTGGCGGTGATGCTGAGTGTTTTCAGCTTCTCTCCCAGATCCGGGCGAGGGAGGCGGCTGATGCGGTGAAGCTCGGGAAGGACGACTTGCCGGACATAGACCCGCTACATGCGCAGCGATTGGGATGCGGCACTAGTCCTCCGCCTGCGGCCTTGGATCCGGATTGCTGGGATGAGCTTTTATGCGAGAAGGCTACCGGGGAAGCGGCTGAGGTCCGGGGTTTAAAGACTTGGATGGTTGAGGGCTTTAGGGACGAAAAAAAAAACGGGCCCAGGTGCAAGGATTTCTTAAAATCATCACAAGGTTCTGGGGCCCTTTTTTTTTCCGCATAAACGCGGGGGTTGGGTCGTTGAGCTGATTGAGGCTGTCGGCAGCAGTGGCTACAGGACCAAGCGGACGGATGAGGTGCTCACTTTGACACAGGCTCTGCAGGAAACTCGTGTGGCAGGCGAGCTGCGTGGCAACATCCAGCCGGCTACGCGCTGGCTCTGGATCCTCCTGGTAAACCTTCGTGCGCCGGCTGACGCGCACGTGCTGCCAGACCCAGCCCGTGCGCGCAGACGCAGGAACAAGTTGAATTGGCACCAGCATCATGAGAGGGAACTCGCCTTGATCCGTGCCCAGGTCGGGGCGCCGTGCAAGCGCACCAGCAGAGCTGCTGCCTGGAGGACCGTGGCGGCTGCGCTCAAGGAGCAGGTAGCGGCCACTGATGCCGAGGAAGTCGTGCAGCTGGCATCGGGTATGATCGTGTTAACATCGCCGCCTGGACTGCAGAGGTGGTTCGTCGGCTGCGTGTTGTCACTCTGGAGATCGACCCCTCGTGGATGCAAGGCCACCCACCTCCCCACGCCCGTGGAGAGCCTGCGGTGCTGCAGAGTCGCCTTGATGGACCCGGTGGCAGGTGCTGCTGAAGGCTTTTTCGAGGTCAGTGCCACATCGGAGGTCGCCGTGGTGGCCATGTACCGGGTTGGGCTGGTGCTCCAGACTCAGGTGACTACGCCTGGAGTGGATGGCTTTCGCTGTCGCCTGACGGATCTCTCCTTGGAGTGTGTGCAGCGAGCACACGAGAAGACTGATTGGCCCGCTGGCTTGCAAGACAATCTGCCCGCACAGACATCGACTGGGCCGATGCCGCTCAGCCATCCGATCAGGCCTGAGACTCCGATTCCGGGCACGCCACTTCCTGGAACACCGAAGCCGAAGACTGCGATTCCTGGCACGCCACTTCCTGGGACACCGAGGCCGAAGAAGCTAGAGGCCCAGCTGAAGCAAGGGCTAATCGATCACCTGGCGATCAAGGCGAAAGTGTCCAGCAAGAGCAAGGAGATTCCCGCGCTCCCTGGAAACTTCACCCGGACGAAGAAGGGCAGCCAGCTCATCGAGCAGGAGATGCGGAAGCTCCTAGAGCTGGATGCCATTCATCATGCCAAGCGGCCGCTTCTGACGCCAGATGGCAAGTTCAGGATGAAGGACCAGAAGGGCCTCCCGATCGAGGGCCCCAGCTGGGATGACATCTGCGCAAGGACTCCCAACTGGTTCAGCAAACGGTTCGAGAAGATCCGGAACAAGGATGAGTTTGGTCGGGCAGTGCACAGCAAGTTCGTCGCCCTAACAGGCCAGCTTAGCTCCGAGGGGCATAGCCGGACCGAGTTCATCACGATGATCTACGACATCATCCAAGGAACAATCGGCACTGTCGCCGAAAGCAGTGCCCCCTGAGGTTTCACAGTGTCTCACTCGTGGCGGGAGGGGTCCGCTGCTCTGGGCTGGAGCTCTCGTGATTTCAAACCTAGACCGGCCATACTCGCCATAATACCGGGTCACATAACGTACTCTGCAATCCATGTTGTGCTCCTGCAGCTCAGCTTCGTGGGGGATGATCGCACGCAGAGCGCTCAGTCTGCAAAACAAGCGAGGAGAGCGAGTGTCATGCATTTGCCCAACCTTGGACCCCAGCTAGGCCCTGAATTTGTTCACACTTTCTCCAACACAGTGATTGTCTGTAGGCCTGTAGGGGTTAGGCCCAGGGATTTTATCCAGCGCATGTCCGAGGCAACGGATCCCAGAATCTCGATTCCCAAACCAAGCTTCCCACCCCCATCGGCGCCCTTGGGCCCAGGGGTTTAATCCACAGCACCCCCAAGCCGCCAGGGACTTTATCCAGATAAATGTGCGGACTGAGGGTGAGGGTCATAACAAACGGGGATCTTGTAGGATCCTAAATATATACGACAAAAAAGGAACTCCAAGGGAGCTTGTTGGTATACTATATAGCAGGTTTTCTTGCATAGCACAGCATAGCATACTACAGCATGGTACTAGTTAAGGCAGCAACAGGTCCCTCGGGAGGAACTTGAAGGAAAGGCCCGAAGACCGGAACCCCGAACGCGCCATCGTCATCATTGCTATACGTAACTTATACGTATATTGAGCATATAATATGTAATGCGTAATCTATAATGTAGAGGGTATAAGATATCTGATACATAATATATATGGTCAGGCACTCCGCGCCCCCGCCCCCCCCACCCCACCCTTTCCCCCCCTTGGTCCATGGTCCAGGATTCCCCCCCNNCCCCCCCCCCCCGGTTGGGGTGTGGGGTCCCTCTTCCCCCTGTGGTGTGGTTGTGGAGTTTTGGGGTTCAGTTTTTGGCTCAAGCTTTTGAGTTTGGGGCTTAGGGTTTAAGGTTACAAGTTATAAGGCTTCGAGTCGACAAGAGGTCAGGGAGGGTTTGGGGTGTAGGTTGCTCAAGGTGACGGTTTATGTTCTGCTTCAAGCTTATAGCTCGCTTTTAGGCGGGGTTTAGGGTTGGGTGTAAGGTGTAAAGTGTTAAGTACAGGTTAAGGTTAATAGAAACAGGAGCACGCCCTACGTTACAGGCCTTATGGCTTGCGTAGGGCTTGCGTAAGATCCCGGCCCGGCCCTCTCTTTTGCTCCCCTGGAGGTTGGGAACGCCAGACGCCTGACCATGTGTGTATATGTATGTATATACACACTATATGCATGCATGCATGCATGCATGCATGCATGCATGCATGCATGCATGCATGCATGCATGCATGCATGTATGTATGTATTATGATCCAAAATATTGAATGCTAAAAATCATAACCTAAAATATGCAAATGTAAGTATATATGAAACATATATATATATATATATAAGATGTCAAGCCAAAGCCCAAGTGTCAATTTGTACAAAACCGTGTATTGTAGGCCAAGACTGCAAACCGCTCAACCCCGTTTGAAGAGGCTATGGCGCAGCCATCCGTGCTTGTCAAGAAGCTACCGAATGGGTGCTGAACTCAGTCAAGTGCTGTTGCAGGGGGACTGAGGTACCATCAGTACATCGGACCAGATTGGAATGGCGTTATGAATGCGACATAGGCAAGTACCAGTACAGCTTCGGCACGTTTCAGCAACACTAGCATGCTTTGGTATGCTACATACTGGTTTTGTGTGTGTGTGCGCATTTATGCTAATTTCCTGTTTTGCCTCTTCATATGGCATTGTGCCTTTGTTCCATCGCCATGGTGGCTCTCCCTGCTCACTGTCTGTCTTTCTCTTTACCTCTTTCTCCACATTGTACATACATATAGACATATGTGTATATATATATGTATATTCATTTATATATCTACTTATTTACTTGTGTATGCAACCAGTTAGATATAAATGTATGTATGTATATGTGTATATGTGTATATACATATGGGTACATGTTTTCCCTCGCTATCTCCATCTATCGACCCTGCACCTGTATCTATATCCACATTGAAATCGATACCTATATTTATAGCTGCATCTCTCTCTCTCTCTATATATATACATACGTAGATGTGCATGTATGAATGTCTCTACGAGTTTGCAAGGATGTGTCTGTAGTCTACACATATTTGTTTAACAAGCTATGGCTCACCTTATGTTATTTGTGTACAATGTTGATACTTATTCGCACGTCATAAATAACAATGGCAAGCTTCAGGAATGCAGTGGAAAGGGCTCGAGTCTAGTATGTCGGATTTGGGATGGTTTTAGCATATAGTATGATGTCTGGCATGATACGTGATAGTCACATGGCTGGCGCGTGTTGGCTTAGGGAGGAGGCTTTTGTATTGGGAGTGTGGTGTTCAGCGTGTCACCCTCTTGCAGTGGCAGAACTCCACACCCCACTGCAGACTCAATCAGTTCAACATGTGTTACTATGTAGCTAAGCTTCATGAAGGAAGTTCATGAACATCCAAAAAACATCATCGCATGGCCGCATGAGCCACGATTGGCATCAGTCACGCAGCCATCGTCAGAGTGATCATGATCGCCGTTCGGGTCCCATCATGATTGACATGAGCAGATGTGTGTAAGGTGGCCGCCTTAGGCCTGTTTGCGGATTCCCGCGACGAGATCGGTCAGGACTCATGCAAACAATCAGAAAGTTGTCCCTCGGGCACATGATCTGGATTCAGCGCTAGGCTCGAAAGGTTGGTTTGCAGAGTGTTCACAGGTTAAGGCTCTGGATTTAGGGTTGACTTTGTTGCTATGGGGTAGCTGACGGCATAGATTGTTTGTTTTAACGTATTGTCTTGTCGCTATGGTGTCTCTGCAAGATTAGCCTGTTCACACTTAATGTTGGAGCTTGCCATCTTGATGGAAGCTTTGTATTGTTATTACATGGTTGCAATTGCCTTGCCTGCAAGTATCAATCGTACTGCTTCTTGCGGTTTTATTTCTGAGCACGTTTAGATGCTACTGTATATGCAAATTTCTATTGAACTGTTTGGGCCCGCATGTAACCCTTCATAGCTACGAGACAGTGTGTGCGGCTCATGCACGCATGATGTATGCATGTATATATGTATGTATGTATGCACGTACGTATGTATGTATGTACGTATGTATATCAGACACTTTTGCAGCATATTTAGGAGAGCGGAGTGGGAGGGTGACCGAAGACGAAGCCCCAAGGCTTATGCCATGCATGATATGTATGTATGTATGTATGTATGTATGTATGTATGTATGTATGTATGTATATATGTATGTATATGCACATGTGTATGTATGTATGTATGTATGTATGTATGTGTATATACACACATAAATATATATATATAGATAGATAGATAGGTCAGATAGGTATTTATAGGTATACATAGTAAGCACACACATATTTACACACACACATATATATATATTAATATATATTATATATATATACATACATACATACATGCATGCATATATAATAGCAATAATAATAGCTTGCGAATGCCGACAGGACAGCCTTGCAATTGCGACACTCACGATGTCAGCTTGCGCACAAGCCAACCAGTGGCAGCAGGTGCGGATGTTTCAGCATCCGGAATTGTGTCGTCTGCAGGGTTTCATTTTCGGGGTTAGCGTTTGCCGTCTGTGCAAGTAAGATGGAGCACTTGATATTTTTTGCTGCCACATGCGTTTGGCTTCAGGATTTGCGGCGAGTTGGAGCTTTTGCTATTTCTGCTCCCATGATGTCCCTACATAGCCCGATGCAGGGCAGCTACTGTCGTGGTTGTTCGCTCCGCAAATGTGAAGCAAGGACGACGAAGCGACGTCGACGACGACACTGTCATGAAGTTATTGTTACTATCGCTGATCATGCAGCCGCTGTTGCTTCTACTGGCTGCTACTGCTGTTTCTCCTCTTCGACTACTGCTGCTACTACTACTACCACCACCACCACCACCACGACGACGCCTACTACTACTACTACTACTACTACTACTGCTACTATTGCTACTGCTACTACTACAACAACTACTACTACTACTACTACTACTCTTGCTGCCACTGCCACTTTGCTGGCTTCGTGGACTGTGTGAGATGACTGACTCTGGCAACTCTCGTGACTAGCCATAGCCCCGCAGTGCTGATTTCGTCGTGCCAAGTGGGTGACAAAAAACAACTACTTCTGCTACTACAACTACGATTCGGAATACGACTACGACCACGACCACTACCACCACAACAACCACCACCGCTTCTGCTGCTGCTACTGCAGGTTCTGTCGCTCGCAGAGCTTCTTTCTCAAGACGAGGACTTTTTGCAGAATTAGTTGGCTTTCATTGCTAATGCTTTAGGGGGGCGCACTCTCTTCGGTCTTTGTTTTAGGCTCGTGGTTTCCTTGTCAGCACCATTGTTGTGTTCGGGTCTTGCTTCAACAGAGCCCTGCGAGAAATCGGCCGCTATCTCAGTGCTCCGGCTTAATGAGTCAGGCAGTTGACATGGGGCCCGTATGAAGTGGGACAGTCGTGGTGTTGCTTCATGAGCCGCTCCAGCTTGAAGGGTCGAAATGTCTGGCATCAGTGGCAGTCAATATGTAATGATCTCTCTGGCCATGGTCCCACATGAACTCCCTCGGCTTCGATTCTAGCTCGAAGCCCTAAGCCTCATGCCTGGGTGATCCTCCACTCTGCAGTTTCGCTGAGATTTTTGCCGTCTAAATCCAAATCTAAGGCTTCACTCCATTCTCCATCGGGCGATAGTTTTCTGCAATAAAGCTCAGGTTGGCTACGAAGCCGCAGAGATCGGCACATCACTGTCGGTGGCGCTAGCAGAGTGCGAACTCAGGCTGTGGGCTGGATTTGGGTGAAGGGAAATTGAAAAAGGACCCCGTCCGGCGAGGGCTAGTGCTGGCGGTGGTGAGGGTCGTGCTGCTGCTGCTGCTGCTGCGGTGGTGGTGG